TGCGTGGCTCTAGTAAAATAGTGTTTGACCTGAAATATCTCATTTAAGAAATTTATTTAAATTTTCTTTTTAATACTTTGATAAGAAATACTTCACTGAGCTTGAAAAGACGAATGATAATTAATGTTCGATGTTGAGATTTATGTTAAGAGACGTTAGTTCTAGCGTTTTTAAACTGATTACTTAATAAAATCACTTAGCTAGCACAAGTGATAAAGAGGATATTAAAGTCTTGTAGAATGTAAAGATAAGAAGCGACGCTTACAATTTATGAGTACTGTTACCTTTCTTAAAGTGAACTGTTTGAAGTGCTCAAAAAGTGTGAAATGAATATGCCAGAAAAACTATTTCGAGCTATTTTTTGCCCAACAGGACGTTTGTCCGAATGGATTATTAGCTCCGAAACAAGATTTTACTTCGTTCACTAGTAGAATCATCATTATTATCGATGCCAGGGAGCAGGAATATATGCAATGTTCAATTTTGCTGTTTCGTAATTTTGCTGCGTAAGTGCAAATAAAATGATGCTTAGTAATAAAGCTAAAAGGGCAAAACGAAATGGGATAACAGGAGTGAGTGTACTAGCAGAGTAATAGACTGCAAACTCCGAGAGAGCGTAAAGAAACCTTAACGAACGTTTAGGTGACCGTTAAAATCAGAAATATATCAGGTTTTTCCTTTTTTCCTTCTGTTTCTTCTCTTTGACGATTTAGTCGCTTTTTCAGCACGTTTTTTTTGCTTTGTCATAAGAGTTTATAAGTTATTTCTTCCGCCTTCTTAGTATGCCTTCGTAGTGTAGTGGTCAGCACGCTGAGCGCGTATTCCAGAGGTCCTGGTCGATTCCCGCGAAGGCATTGTTCATTTTTTTACTTATTCCTTTTTCAAAAAATCTAATCCTCTACAGTGTCGCCCGACAAAAGGGTCTAGAGATGATTCTCCGCATCAGGATTTTGCGATGGGTCCCCTAAAATCCCCATCGCCCTTTCAAAGGAGGAGTAATAAGGATTTATCCCGCTCTTTAGCATACCTTCTAGTGTGTGTGAGCATCTTGCGCGTATCCAAAGTCGTGGTTCGATTCCCGGCGAAGGCGTTGCTCATTTTTCACTTCTCTTGTTTCCAAAAAAAATTCTAATGACTCTACAGGTTATTTTAATTTTATTTACGTTTGCTTATTCAAAAATATAACACTGTTCTTTCAAATATTAGATCCTAACGATCGTAGCTTATATTTTAATAACTACTAAATATTTCTGAAGATTGTCTTTTATACGGTTTCCGAGAAATCCCTGTCTAGATTGCTGCTTATTGCATTTTAGCTTGAGTTTGTAAGGAATGAAAGTCGATATCCTTAGTGCATCACAGAGAAACTGGTCAGCGAAGTAAGCTCGAGACAGATCAAACACGAAAATGCTTCTCCATACCACCTGGGAATAATGGCTGCTTAACTGTAACCAAGTAACGTACTTCTTGTACTCTTTGGGGAAATATGCTTTACTCTAGTTCGTGTAACGATCGCTGAAGGGTATTTTTATTTATGTTGGAGATCAAGACATGCAACATACGAGACGAAAAACACAGCCCTTGTGTTCTTTTCTTTTGTTTGAAGTCCTTTTGCTTTGTTGGTTTGAACCATATGTTTCCTTTAATAAGCTTCCTCTTAAATGTCGGTTCAAACGAAAACGATGCGAATGGCTTTGTTAGATTCTCTTCTTATACCTTTAAAGATTTGATTTCGATTTAACGATTTACCTTCACACCTATCATTTTTTTTTCAACGTAAGACGCTAGCTAGCAGCAACGACATTTTGAAGCATTCAAGCTCGACGCCACCATATTAATCCGATAAAAAATTGAAATATTATTCTTGCAGATATGAAGCTATAAAATACATGAAACGAATATATTCAAATAAGCTATAAATGTAATTAAAATGGGAAAGTATTATTATTACTGTGAAAAAATCATGAAAGCTCTTAAATTTGAACTATCACCCAAAAGGATTTATTAAGTTCCTTACTCTCTCAAGAAGCTCGCAGTCTATCAGTCTGCTGTTAATTCATTCCTACTAACTCCCCCCCCCATTTTTTAATATGACGTTGTAGCTTTATATTTAAGCATCGTTTTCTTAACGCTTACATCACGTACTGTTCAACAGAACCACAAAATTTTAAAAACAGCATATATTTAGAATTCCCAATGCAGTGTTAAGTATTGGCATATATTTAAAAATATTTTTGCAATCTTTTCTCAGTTCATCATATCAATATTCAGTTTTCTTAGCAAAGATGGCGAAACATTTCTTTTAATTTCTTTTGTCTTTTTATTATTAAATTTTTATGTGTTAACTTTATTTATTTAATATCACGTTCTTCGACTTTACGCCACATAAAATTCAATTTAACAGCAAAATTATAAAATATTTAAAAACACCGTATCTTTAGAATTCACCCCCCGATGGAGTGTTAGACACTGACATACATATTTTTAGATTCGCTATATATTCTTTGAAAACTAGTAGTTCGCACAGCCAACCGCCTAAAATAGTTATCATAAAAAAAGGAAAAAAAACTTATAATGATTTTAATGAATCCAGCTAGTTTAATTAAAAACATATTAGGAATATTTCTATTTAGACACCTCATGATTTTAATACATGTTTTTTTACGTCAACCACATTAAAAAGGAGAAACAACTATTCTTAACTGTGTTTATTGACTTAGTTTATTACTCAATAACCTTCCAGATTAAATTTGAAAGTGTTTTAGGCTTAGCGGAATGGCCTGGCGTGTGGAAGATAAAAATATCTTATTTTCAGCCACGGCAACACATTACTTTCTTATAGCATGAATTTATTAAGTAAAACTGAGAGATTTTACATTTTTTCGAATGGCAAGAGTTTCTTTCGTGCGAGATAAAAATGTTTCATTTCGAACAATGTTGTTATTGCTCGCTTTCAAATCTTTGAGTTTATTAATTAAAAATTCGTTAATCTTTTACAAAATATAAAATAGATAATAAAGCAAATTCGAAATTGAAAGTTCGAGTTTCCGTGTGCACATGTTCGGGTGAAGGATTGATTATTTTATTCAATATCTGATGGCTCTAGGTATCGTCGTTTTTCACAATGCGAGGAGCACACATGCATACGTACATGCAGATTCTTCATTATATTATTTCTTTTAAATTAATGCAGAGCAATAATATTTGGTAGCAACGATTTGAAACTTAATATGCCATTTAAAGGGAACCGACACATAATCTCATTTCGAGACTAATAGCCCCTTTTGATCTAAAAAGAAAAATGGGCACAGAAAAGAAATTGATATTACTTACAGTGTTCTGACATTCTTCAGACCAGAAAACGCATCTTCGTGAATTGAATTCAGTTGCGAATTACCTTTTAGACTTCTGAAAATTAAAAAGAATATTTGAATTAACTATATTATATAATTAACTGAAATATAGTAGATGAAGAAACTAAATGTGTAATATCAACTATACTTATAATGACTCAGATGGAAGCAGTATATAATATATTCAATCACATGAAGACAGCAAGATTTTTAACTCAAAAGTCCATGGGCCTGTTTGAACCAAATTTGGCACACAGTGAGAAATTTTAGATTTTCATAAGTTATTTAAAAGAGCACTAAAACAATTAATTCGCGCATTATAAAATTTGAATAATTGTTGATTAAAATTAAGCAAAATAGCAACCTTTTTTGGCGTAGATTATAAATAAAATTCTATTTGTTTCGAGGGCGATCTGATACATATCCCTTTTCATCAGATGCAAACAAATTCTGAATTTGTTTGATTCTGAAGAAGACGGATCTGTGTCTGATCGTCCTAGAAGTTTTATTGATATTCCACATCCAAATAAGAATGCCCATATGTCTAATTTTGAGTTTTTTACGTTAGCATGTATCTCTTCCTTCATTGTCTACTAGCGGAAGTACCCGATGGCAGTTAAGTTAGATTCAGAGTAATGTATGTAACAACAAAGCGAACGATACCGCTGTAATTTGCTAATAGCAATGCAAAAAATAAGATTCAAAGTCATACATATTTCAGTTTGATGCTATCTGAAACCCAGATATAAAACTTCAATAGAAAAATAAGCTTATTCTCTCTTATTATATTAGTAATAATGGCTCGCAGTTTTTAATAATTTTCGTCTTTCTAATAAAATGGTCGTAAAAGCTTAAGTTCCATCCAATATTTCATAATTTTGCAATTTTATTATTATACAATTTTTGTCGATTAAATGTGGCAAAAAATCGATCATAGTTAATCAGAAATCAATAACGTGAACAAACAAACACACAAAGAGACATTCTTCATACATATAATATATATATATATATATTTGTAAAACGTACAAATTTTTGATTAACAAACTTTACGATTTGAAAGCGAGCAGTAGCAACACTTTTCAAAATAAAGCATTTTTATTTCTAACGCGTGAGACTGTTGTCATTCGGAAAAATGATTGCGAAAATTAATGCTTTCGGAGTTTTTAATTAATATCTCGGCTGGGCTAAGTCGTACGAAGATGGGAATAGTCGAAATGGCTTCCCGTGAATTTTTGGAATCGGGAATAATGCGTTTATTCTTCGGCGATGTTATTTTTATTTCATCATAAAATTTTTTTATTGACAAACTGTACGATTTGAAAGCGATCAGTGGCAACAACTTCCGAAATAAAGCAGATTTTCATCTCCAGCTTGCGAGACTGTTGCCACTTGGAAAAATGAGAGTGAAAATTATTAATTTTCTGAGTTTTTAATTAATACCTCTGATTTTAGCTATGGTTTTTGGAAAAAAGTGGACGTCGACCTTTTCCAGGACCCAGAAAAGAATTGTAGAAAGTTTGGTGGCAATAGCTATAGACTGAGTTATTAGAGAACAAACAAACAGACTTTCTTCTTGATATATATATATATATATATATATATGTATTACAGCAGAAGTTTAGCTCATTTTACGGATTATAACAATAATCGGGATCATAGAAATTAATCACTGTTTGCATATTTTGTACCTGTCTGTTTGCTGATTCCTATATCCAAAACTATGTATAGAATGAATATGAAATTCATGATACCTTGTTAGATTTTACCCATCTTTGGTTTTTGGTTCCTATTCGCCCGTCCTCAGTTTATCACGTATTTTTTATACCTCGTTTCGTTATACTCTCCCACACATGCTCAACTGAATTTAACTTAGAAAATGAAGCTGCATAATACATGACTAGAATCTTCAAAGGTTTTAAAAATAAACAGTTACTTGTTTTTCTGCAAAAGTTCAAGCTTTGAAAAAGGTAGTATTTTGTTGAAACCAAATCTGCATTTTTCAGATTTGTATTTGTTTGTCTAACGTTTGGTTGCTGCTAATTCGACAGCTACATATTGGATGCAGGTGAAATTTAAGATGTTTAGGATGGAGATGTTTAGGATATTTTCTTTTTTTAGTTACTTCGCTTATCGGAGAATCATGGTTCCATAAAAAGCATCATAAAATAAAAACCTAGGACTTCCTGTGCATTTCTAAAAAGTTACAAGCTTGCTGTTGAACGCAGAGTTAGATACTTATAGTAAAGGTTAACAAAAGCAAAATGCACAAACAATTTGCCGACGATACACACTAGAGGAGCTGTAGCGATGCTAATGAATAACGTCCTGGATCAAACTAAGTGTTGAATAACAATACAAAGAAAGTGAATAACAGTGTTTGCCGTGATATTATTTTTCTGATGCTGTTACGCTTTTTTTATAATTTCTTTTTCAGAAATTTTCCCATTTCAGATCTATTTGTAGGATAATTTTAACAGAAATACACTATATAAATATAAAATGTTACTCTTAGAGAGCAATTAATATTAAATTAATATGTTCATAAGAAATGAAGCAAAAATTATAAAATATAACATTATAATAGATAATAAAACAAATGCAAAAATATAGGACCCCCCTTATGATAAGAAGATTTTACTCCATTTTAATACTTACTTTAATATCTTCTAAGAAATCTGTAACAACCAACTAGATAGAAATTTTGCGCTATTTTTTAAAAATGATTTAAACAATAACTCTTTAAAAGAACAAAATTACGTATTACGAAAATATACCCAAGATTAGCAACTACAAATAAAATATCTATTTATTAGCCTAAGAAAACATAGATCTATTTATTAGCCTAAGAAAACATAAAAGAATTCAAATCCTCATAGACAAGAAAACTTATGAAATTAAAAACATTGGAGAATCTAAGAAAAAAAAAAAAAAAAAAAGAAAAGAACATTAATTAAATTTTGTGCGTGAATGAAATCGCATTTTCTTTTTGAAACAAAAATGTAATATAATTTCTTGTTGCTTAAAGTAATAAGAATAAGAAAGAGAAAGATGGGAAAATCATTATTAATTAAACCTTTTAAGTATAATAAATAGTTAAAAAAGATCTTTCCTTTTAATTTAGAGCAATGAAAAATCTTCATTGTTTATTTTAAGCAAAAACACTTTTTTATATTTATTTTTACTTTCTTATGTCTAAAATGACTTACTGTCTTTCCTCAAAAACTGGTATTCAGAATTTTCTCCGCATTTAAATTTCGTTACCTTTAGGCGTTAGAAATAATGTTCCGTGAAGGCATTCGATTCATTCAAATGAGAGTGATGGTAAAATTTGAAGCTTACTTTACCGTTTTTAATTAGATATCCAATTGTTTTTTCTGTCACTTACTTTCTCAAACCTCTCTATCCATAAAAATATTTTTATTCCACCTAAAATGTTTTTTAATAAAGTTAAAAAAATGTGAAAGCAGTATCTTTATCTGGGTAGTAATCACCACTCAAATCTATGATTTTCTGCCAACGTTTCGTAGTTTTTCAAAGCCTTCGGAACAGAAACTTGGTGGCCGTGAGTGCAAAAACAGATCAATCTTATTTCGGACGTCCTATGCAGAATGGAAGATAGTACCAAGTAAGATTTAGCTGCAGGTGTGAAAAATGTAGAAGTTCGAAGGAGAGATGTCGAGACTATATGGTGGGTATGACAAAAGATTTCATTCGAGTCCGTACAGAGTCCAGCCGGTGAATGCAGACACACTGTGGTCTTGCATTATCTTGATGACCTCTTTGCACCGAACGTTTTTTCTTGATAGCAGCGTCAACACGAACTAGCCTCTCACTGAGCACCTTACTGTCGAAGGTTTTACATTTTTTAGATACTCTTTCTGGATAATACCACGGGAATCCCACCAGATATAAAGCATAGTCTTTTTGCTTTCCAAATTGCGTTTGTGACGCTGCTGACATGCTCACCAGCCCCAGACGCTCTGCTTGTTGAATGTCATAGTTCTTGTTTTTGCACTTTCGGCACTAAACCTTCAAAGTTTCCTATGATACAACATTAGTACCTGAAGCTGTACGCATGATTTGGTGACATTCTGTAGCTGACGTTTTGCAACAGAACTGGAAGTAAATGATGTTTCTAATCTAGTAGCCTGATAGTTTCATTTCAGAGACTTAATGATAACGATATTTTTTTACAAATTTCATAACACAGGGTTCTAAAGCAAGTTTCTTTCTTTTAAATGACAAAAATCTTTTGACAAAATATGATTAAACACGCCAACGTGAATTGTTTTGCGGTGGCGGAAACTTTCGTTAAAACTCGGCATTAAATTGCATGAACATGTAAAGAAGATAATAAAATTAACGTGCGCTGTTGAAGAAGAAGCACCAACATGAATGATGGCTGATTGTCTTCACATGTTTTGAAAGGACAGTTATTTTGCTAATCGATTTTTGTCCCTTTGGCTTACTGTACTTGTGAAGAATAATTTCAGCTGCTTTTAAACATAAACTAATCCAGAAGGATTCAAATTTTCTCTTGGGATAAGGCATATTTAATTGAAATTTATTTATTAATTTCAGATTAAGAAGAAACAAATATATCACTTTTTAGGCTTTAAATTCTGTTTGGAGTGTATATTTAACTGATTCTTAAACTGCAATGCTTCTTTGTCTCTTTAAATTTTATAACCCAAATCAGTTTTATGACAAATGATTTATTGAAAGTAATTTATTTGATTCAATAATTGGCGGTTCAAAACTAGAAAAGAAATTGAAATCAGGATAGTTTAGTACATAAACCCTTTATAAAATTGCATTAAAATGAGGAAAAAAAAATAATAAAAAAGGTATGTTTTGAATGAATAAGGAACATGAATAAAAAAAACAGAAAGCTTAGGTTTCACACATGTAAAAGCAATAAAATTGTGAAAGAACAGAGAAAAAAGAACATAAAATAAAATCTCTCATAGTGCAATACTCATATTCTATATTAAAATACTTTAGAAAACAATAGGATATCCAAACATCAGATTTCATTTAACATGTTTCCGC